TAGGATTCTCCAGGCAAGAGTACTGGAATGGGTTGCCCTTTCCTTCTCCAGGCCCTAACTCATAGTAGAACCAAAATAGCTGTCAAGGAAGCAACAGCTGAACTATTGAGAGGAAGTTGAAAAACTAGGAAGTAGACACAATAACTGAAAAAGTTTATCTCTTTGGGTGAAATTTACTGCCTGGAAAAACTCTTGACAAGTCAGTGGACTCTAAGATGTCATCACTGTATTGCAGGAGGGGGTTCTTGATTCATCAGTAAAAAATTCAGTTATGATCACTAGCTCTATTTAAGTAAGCAGGGACACATGCAATCCATTTTAGAAACCTCTTCGTCACAAAAGACTAGAGTTAAAACTAAAACCTTAGCTTGTAGAGGGTAAGCTTCCACTGAGCAGTTTTAGCATTTTTTTTTTCTTTTTACCTGTTACTTGGTAACGGTTTAGTTCACATATAATCTTTCCTTCAGTCCTTACACCAGTGAGAAGAGACCGTAGTTCTTATTTCCATGTTGTAGAGCAGGAAGCTGAGATATGATGATAATTAACCTGCTCAGTCACAAAACCAGCAAAAAGTTCTGGTTTTCATGTCCAGTTTCGTTTTGCTCTAAAGGCTGGATTCTTTAGACTTTCATTACCTGTTCCTTTTCTGTGTTTTAGGCTCCAGTCCTGCCTACTCAGGAATTGTACAAAATCATATTTATTGCTCTGTGAACTTTCAGTTAATGGCATTTTGTAGCAGGTTTTATTTCTGCATTTGCTTATCAGTGACTAACTTCTGCTTTGTATTTCTCCTAACTGGTTTCTCTCAGAGGCTGGCATATTATTTTGGATTCTTTTGTCTTTACAGCATCTCCCTGATGTAAGTACAGAGATTAGCAGGCTGGGAGGATTTGTGTTGATTTATTTTGAATGACTAAATGATACTACTATTCTCAGGGGAAAATGCTATGTTATGAAACAGCAAGAGAAAATTGTGGCATGTGTTCAGTTATATTAACTTCTAAATTTTCTGAACATGTACAAATATGAAAATAATGTTTAACTGTGATTGCAACTCAGAAAATAAGTTAGGCAGGTAGGTAGCAATAGATGCTCCAAGCCAATGCAGAATGGTTGAGCTAAAGATGTGAAGAAGTGAAGCACTGATTTCAAAATCTAAATTCCCTGCAATTTTGTGTGGATGATGCTTAAGGAAGCAGCTTAAAAAGCAAGAGCGGTACCCATCATGGGTCACTTTAGACCATTCTCCCGATCAGATCTCAAATATTAAGGCATGGAGTTTAATGCCCTTGGCAGGCAACAATTTCTGCTATTTTCCTGAAGGTGGACTCCTAGTATAATAAAAAAGATTTCTGTGTGATAAAAAAAGAACAATGGAATAGCTAAGTTTGAATCCTACTTTTGCAGGTTACTAGGTGGATAAGCTAGCTGCGAGTTACCAGAAACTTCATATTTTCAAGAACAAAAATGGAGATGATGATGACATAATAATAAAAGTGGTAACACCTTCCTTTTCAACCTCCTAGAGTTGGTGGGAGGATCAAAGGGGATGATATAAATGAATGTTCTCTGTGAATACAGAATGTCATTACACAAATATGTGGTATTATTAGCATGGTAATTTATTTTTATGTGGTTTATGTCTTTCAGATGGCTCAATTAGTTTTTGTGATGATTATTTTTAATTGAATCATGAGAATCTATCTTCTTGAGGGGGTTATACCTTCATAAATTTTGAGAATGATTTTAATTTAATTTTGTTGTTTATATTCGGCTGGGTCTGAGTTGGCATGAGACTGGTGTTGGATTTTCATCAGTCAATAGCATCAAGCTGCCTCCCTGAAACATGTCAGATTCTTTTTCAGGTCTTTTTTGTCTGGCCTTTAATTTTAGACCAGTCATCAGGATAAGCACTGGGTCTTCTAGATGACTTCACATTCGGAGCATAGCTTCATAAAGGAGATTAAAAACTTGACCTTGATATCAAGCCTCATTTTACTGCAAAAAGAAAACAGGTGAGACAAAGAGCCTGTAGCATCTCCCCAGCCACCTCATTTTTGAACAGTAAATGCAGTGTTTTGCCCATAGGAATGACAGGCCTGTGGGTATGTGAGCAGGCCTCCTGATAGGGAGAGAAATGCTTTGTTTAAAAAGAGGCAAATGGCATAATGACTGAGAGCCCAGGCTCTGGAATCAGACAGGCATGTTTTATTCAACTTCCCTTCACACTTAAAATCCCCAAACTTCAGTTTTCTCATTTGTAAAATAGAGATTATAATAACTACCACATGGGATATTGTCACTGGTAAATGAGAGCGCTTTTGTAGAGGTATATCTAACGTATAATAATGACAATGATGAATGTATGATTCACAGAGGATGGAAACAAAGGGGAAGGAAAAAAGTGATAAGTCCACGGTGCATCTTAGAATCATAGCCCATCCTCCAGAACCCAATTGAATTAACCTGTAGTATAACTGGGGCTTCCCCGGTGCCTCATACGGTAAAGAATCTGCCTGCGATGCAGGAGACGTGGGTTCAATCCCTGGGTCAGGAAGATCCCTTGGAGAAGGGCATGGCAACCCACTCCAGTATTCTGGCCTGGAGAATCCCACGGACAGAGGAGCTGGGCGTGCTATAGTCCACAGGGTCGCAAAGAGTTGGACACGACTGAGCAACCAACAACAGTGTAATTGATCCCTTTTCTTGATGCTGTGTCTCCTACAAGTTCTTTAAGCATTAATTGTACTACAGTTATCAGTAGGACAGGACTATTAAGTTCTGTGATGTTTCGTTTTCAAGATCTAAGCATAGTTCCTGCCTTTTTAAGGGTAAATTTTAGACTAGATGATGATCTGTGTTTTGTTGAGAAGAAAATCCAGGTAAGGCTAATCTTCTGTTTTTAAACCTATACCAATGTGAGGACTATTTTTTGAAGTCTGAAGAATATAGCTTTGTGGAGAACTATGAGTGGTCTGAGCGTTTTCTTCATAAACACCACCCAAACTGGCCTACTTTTCCTTTCTAGCAGTTCACAATTAAGTGATTTTTTTTTTTTTTTTTTGGACTGAGGTTTCAAACTCTTTCTGCCCTCAGACACCTCATGTAAGCTGTCATCTTGCTGAAGATAAAAGGAACATTGTTTCAATTCTGGTCAGTTTCTAGAACTGTGTGATATTTAATAAACCTGTCTAGCCTCATTGGAGCTTCCCAGGTGGCAGTAATGGTAAAGAATCCACCTGCAATGCAGGAGACTCGGGTTCAATCCCTGGCTCGGGAAGATCCCCTGGAGGAGGGAACGGCAACCCACTCCAGTATTCTTGCCTGGAGAATCCCATGGACAGAGGAGCCTGGTGGGCTACAGTCCATAGGGTCAGACACGACTGAAGCGACTTAACACGCATATACACAGCCTCATTGTTCCTCAAGCATATGCCTGTGTGTGTGAGTGTGTGAATTGTGTGAGTAAAGGAGAGTGGTGATAGTGGCCTCCTATAAAATCTTCATGGGGACCAGGAGTGGTGGTTGGGACATTTTTTTTGCTCCTCAATAGAGGACAAGAGTTGGGAAACCCTGGCCTGACCATCTAAAATTCTGTGCAGCTTTTTGGTGATGAAACTCTTCCAGAAGGCCAGAGTGAGGCTGAGCCTTGGAGGGAAAGGTGTTAAGAGTGTCTGACAGGCCTTCAGTTGGATTTGAAGCTGAAGGTCACATTGAGGACAGTTAGTTTTGCTCTAGAGGGACGGCCTCCCTGTTTCGTTGGTTTCTCCACCAACTAATCCTTGGCTGGGTGGCTCAGGGCCCGTTCCCAGGTAAACTGCTGATGCAAAGTACTGAGCTTGGATACCTGGTGAAGCCTAGGGATTAACACCAACTCACTTTTTTTTTTCTTACCCATTTGATTTCAACACTGCTTTCCTGAAAGTCTTCTTCATCAGCAAGCATTACAGCACTTCCTGGAAAGAGCAAGACTTCTATGATTCTCAAAACCTCTGTATCAACTGAAAAAGTTTCCCAAGGACCAGTGATACACTTTCGGGGACAAAGAAGTGAAGGGGCCAGGTAGCCCCTTTTAGAACCGCTGCTGGCAAAAAAAGTGATCAGAAAGCACACAGTATCATAGTAGCATCGTTTCCTACAGGAGTGAAAAGAATTTACAGTCCACGGGGGCGAGGGGGCGGACATCCAAGGTCAGAAGCTAGCAGTCCTAGTGTCTGAGCTTCTGCGACACAATCCCAGGGTGTAGGAAACTATCCGTGCCCACAGGAATGTAAGGAGAGAGGGAGAAAAGGGGTGGGTGACGGGGCGCTGGCTGGTAGCATCGGGGTGTCCGGGGTGTCCTTGGGTTTCCAGCCCCGGGCAGATGAACTCTTGGCCGCAGGGAAAGCGCAGGAAACCTTCACCCGAGAGGGAACCGGGAGGGCGGCTGAGAATGCGGCGGAACCAAAACAGGGTGTGGCCAGGGTGCTCCCGAGTGCTCGGCGCCCGCCTGGGGGACCCGGGAGGAGGTCGTTTTTGGGTGGCGGGGAGAGAGGACGGAGAGCTCGGGAGAAGGAAGAGCACTGGTTCTTCCCGGGGGCTGCGCAACGCCGGGCGCGGGGCTAGGCGGCGGCGCCAGTGGCGGCGCTCTCCCGCCCCGCGCGGCCCGGGAAGGGCGGGCCGGGTGGCGCTCGCGGGGCCGGGCTCCGGTCCCCACTCAATCCTCCCTCCCTCCGCCTCCCGGGCTGTGGGGCGGCCGGGCCAATGAGCGGCGAGAGGAGGGGAGCGGGAAGCCGAGCGCGCTGGGCCGCGGCCCTCCTACCGCGCCCGTAGCCGCAGCGCCAAACACTAAGTTTTGCGCCCCGAGACTTTGCGCCGCGTCTCGTCCTCCGTCTCGCAGCTCGCTCCCCGGGAGCCCGGCGGCCGCGCGCGGCCCTCGGGACGGCCGCCAGCGCGCACTCGGGCGGGAGGACGCCGAGCCGGGGGCCGGGGTTGGGGGCGGCTCCTCCCGAAGATGCAGGATGGCAGCGGAGCCGCGGTCCAGCCTGTCCTACCGCACGACGGGCTCCACCTGTCTGCACCCGCTCAGCGAGCTCCTGGGCATCCCGCTGGACCAGGTAACTGCGGGCGGGCGGCCAGGCCGCGGCTGGGGCGTAGCGCAGGCACCCTCCCCGAGCCGGAGCGGGAGGGACGCGGGGGTGGGGATGTTATCTACCTCCGTCCCCACCCCCATGCAGATTTCCCTGCTTCAGACTAGACAGGTGGAGTTTTGTTTGTTTGAGGTGATGTTTTTCTCCCGTAAGTATGGGGGGGGGGGGGGCGGCGGGAAGGGTATGCGCAGCAGGTTCGAATAAACTTTTTTTTTGTCTTGTTTGAAGTTTGGGGTTGCCTCCTTTCCTGTAAGCCTTCTGATAAATGAAATCGTGTTCCTTCCGTCGATGCACTCAAGTCTTCATTATTTTTTAGTTAGTTGAGCCTATTTAGAAAGTAAACCTGAGTGATGTCTAAGCAGCAGCCTACCCTTTGGGGATGAGAGACCCGGGTTTTTCGGGCAGCGAGGCTTGGAAAATCGGCTTGACAGTTATTTTGTACCATGTGCGATCTCCATCCGCAAGGGAGGAGGGACTTTCCGAGGGCCCTGGTTTATTCAGTCCGTCGGTCCTCGTCGGACAGGTTATTGGGAGGAGAGAGAGGCTGCTGCAGGTGTTTGTACTGAAACTGAAAATGGCAACAGTCAGTCATTCCAGGTAAGAAATCTCCCTAAACGTTGAGGCTCTTAACCCCTTTTTTTCTTTTTTTTTGGTCTGTCTAGATGCTACAGGCTAGATCTGCCCTGTGTTTAGTAGTGAGTCAGTGAAAACACAGTTGACCCTTGAATAACACAAGTCTGAATTGCATGGATTCACTTATACGTGGATATTTTTCAATAGTAAGGGCTACAGCGCTGTACCAGTACTGAAGCTGCTTAAATCTGCAGCGTCTAGGAAGGCGGATACAAGGGGCTGTCTGTAAATTATAGGCAGATGAACACCTGTGTGGTTGAAGGGTCAGCTGTATGTTATTTAAAGGGAATTGGGTGAGGCATCCTGGAAGAGGGCCCACATACTCCTGTTTCACCCTGTTTTCTTCCTCTGCCTGTTCCCTAGTGAACTTTAAAAAAGAAATTCTTTCCTTCACACAAGAGCGTACCTGCTGCACTTTCCACTCCCAGTCCTTCAGCAATGAGGAAGTGAGAGCTGGATGTTTGCCTTACTCAGACACTGTTTTCTGAGCCACCCTCTACCTGGCCCCCTTTGAGGCTCTGATTCAGAACTCCACCTGGTCGGACAGTTGCCTTCTCATCAGTTGTGAAATCCCGAAGGTCAAGAGAGGTTTTTTTCAGCTGCCAGTGCCTGTTCTTGTAGTGAGGATGTAGGGACTGCCAGGGGTCTGCAAAGGCAGCAATAATAGCAAATTCTCTAGCCCTGAAATGAAATCTAACTCAGAGCCGAATTTCCTTTCCTGGGAGTTTGTTTGATACTTAACCCCTCTACCCTTCATCACAGTTTATTTTAATTGCACTTTCCATTTGCAGCGATGCAGCACAACTAGAGAGAGGAGGAATCCAGGGAGAGTTTGTTTGGTTTTTTTCTTTTTATGGAAAGAGATAGACTGTTAATAGATCCTGGAGATTGATGGCTAAGAGGTACCTAGGATGGATGTTATTAAGTGCCCTGTAACTGCCTCCACCCTCATCCCCAGTGTCCTGGATTTCTGGCAAAGGAATCCTGGTTTTATTTTTTTGGAATCCTGGTTTTAATTTATAAGAAAGAACAAAAGACTGAGAGGGGAGGGATTTGGGGGTACACTGAAGGAAATATGTGGGCTATAGACAAGGAAGGCGCACCTGTGATCTCTTAGATCTTAGGGAGCCCTACTGCCCTTCAGCTGGGTCCAATCACCGTGACGCTCGGTGGAAGATACACGTAAAGGGCAATACCCCAGCTGGCTTGTTTAGGCCGAGGGGGAATCCCAAACCATAAACAATGTGGCTTGAGGCGAAACTGTGGCTTGAGGGTTTGGAAGCTTGGTGTGCTTTTCTCCCTTACACTTTCAAGGGCCTTTTAGATGTTAGACTGACTTGCGGGTAGTTTCTGGTCTGCCAGCAAACTTCTTTTGTGGCTGTCAGCTGGTATTCTACCAGCCCGGAGCCTCAGGGTCCTCACATGTAACGTGGGAGATGGCAGAGGACCTTTGGGAGTCGAGACATTTTATGTAGATGTAAAATGCCTTATGGTCCTTGTATCAGACAGGGGCCTGGCAGGATACAATTCAACTCAATGGCTTGTAAGGAAGAAACTTCCCTGAATTGCTTAAGAGTTGTGGGTGGCACTACGGGAACCAATAAAGGATGTTCAGGTACCAAGCCCGGGCGCTGAAGGGGAAAGGGGAGAAAGTCCTGTTGCCTGGATGCAGGGGCGAAGGAGAGAGAGAACTTGGCCCCTTTTGCTCCCCGTTCCCTGACTCTGCACCTCTTGCCGTGGCCCCTGGCGGGTGGCTGGCCTCGAGCACCTGGGTGAAGTGGTCTGAGGGGCTTCTCCTGGGCCACAGAAGGGGGACGACAAACGTGGAGCCAGCTCTGGAGGACAGTCCTAGGCTCAGAGCCCAGCCCTTGATATACATTTGTTCCTGGCCCATTCAAGAGTGCCGCCTTATTGGCCTGCAATTTGCCAAAAATGATAAAACATATCTCAAGTTGCCCAAGTAGTACCTCACATACCAGTTAAAGACAACGGTGAATCCTCTCCTTAATGTTTTAGCGTTTCACATGTGTGCTTGTAATTTCTGAATTGATTGCACTTGTGAGAATGGCTTCTGGGTCTCCCTGGGTCGAGTCGTTTATTATTTGTGCACCTGAAATATCTGCTGAGCATTCTGCTATGTAAGTGAAGAACTCTGATTTTCATCCAGTTCTTCCATTTGTCTGTTCTGTTAGCCCCTCAGGGAAGCCTGTATGCGCTGTGACTGTACCCAGGAGAAGTCTCTGGTTTTAGTTTCCGGGGACTTTGACTAGCCTGGACTCCTCTGAAAGAGGTTAAGTGCAAAGTCATCTTATTTAATTAGAGACTTGGAGCCCAGCAGTTCAGACCCAGAGTATAGGAAATGGAGGATGTATTGGCCTTCACAGGTGCGGCACAGATGAGTTTGTTGAAAACTGTGTTTCTAGAATGAGTTCCTTTCTGTTGAGCAGATGTGGAGCTTGGGCAGGGAGCGGAGGATGACTGATTTGCTTTTCTGTTTAAATCATCTGTTCATGCCCTCTCCACTCTGTTTAGGTTGTGGGCTGTGGCATGATCCGTCTTTAAACTGTCCCAGCCCTCCAATGGACTAGGACTCAACTAGTCCTAAATGGACTCGGCTACCAGAATGCTGACATTCCTATCGTCTGTGTCACTTGATCATATCCGAGGAGCTGTGCAAGTGGAGGAATTCCTGGCTTTAAGAACTTTGCAGTTTGATGGTGGGGAACTCTTGAGTGCCAAGACTGTTTTTCCCAACTGAAATCCCCCCAAATTTGTCTGTATTTGCATAAAGTATCAATTCAGTATTAGGATTCTTTGTCTGGATTTCAGTTTTTCCCCCTCATGTGGCATCAGCAGAAAAAAGGGGCAAAGGAAAAATAGATCAGGAGATAAGAAACTAGGCAGTGATTTCCGAGATGAAAGCAGTCAAGGCTTAGGCCTCTTCCTGTAGGCTTGTATTACAGTTTAAAAGGCTAGAGGAGTGAAGACCAGCTCTCAAGGCCTGGCCTTCTCAACTCATGGTGATACTAGCCCTGGGGTTTGATGATCCCACCCGTGCCTCTAGTGGCTCAGATGGAAAAGAATCTGCCTGCAGGGCAGGAGACCCGGGTTCGATCCCTGGGTTGGGAAGATCCCCTGGAGAAGGGAATGACTACCCACTCAGTTTTCTTGCCTGGGAAATACCATGGACAGAGGAGCCTGGCGGGTTACAATCCGTGGGGTCTCAAAGAGTCTGACATGACTGAAGCGACGAACACACAGCGGGGCCTCTGACCATCAAGTTTCTCTACCTGCCTGGAGTTTTCAGTCACCTGGTTCCCTTGCCTGTTTGTGGAAAGCCCAGCCCTCAATTCTCATCTTATCTAAGCCTTGCCCTTGGTTAAAAGCTTAACTCACATTCCACAGTTATTATTAAATCAGTTAAATATTTATTTCACACTTGTAATGCCAGGGACTTGGTCAGGTCATAGAAATATAAGGATTAAAAAAAAATCAAGTTTTCTGTCCTAGAAGAGTTTATATACCGACCCACATAAATATTAATATACAAGTACTATGTCCTCATGAACCTGTGTTGGGGCTGCTAGAGGTTTGCTGCTGTTGTGCAGTTGCTCAATCATGTCCAACTCTTTGCAGCCTCATGAATTGCAGCACATCAGGCTTCTCTGTCCTTCACTTTCTCCTGGAGTTTGCTCAAATTCATCTCCATTGAGTCAGTATGCTATCTAACCATCTCATCCTCTGTCGCCCCCTTCTCCTGCCTTCAATCTTTCCTAGCATCAGGGTCTTTTCCAGAGTCAGCTCTTTGCATTGGGTGGCCTGTTGGAGCTTCAGCTTCAGCATCAGTCCTTCCAGTGAATATTCAGGGTTGATTTCCTTTAGGATTGAGGTTTACACATGGTACCTTAGTGGAATGGAGATGGGAAAGCCACAGGACACCTTGGACTCCTGTAGAATTTACTGTTTACCTTTGACACCATTTGTATTTGACACTTAGTAAATGTTACCTTATTTTGTTAGCTGTCCTACATTTATATGCTGAGTTTCAAACTAAAGTTTTCTTGAGGCAGGTTTTATCTTCCCTTGTATTCTAAGCAGGTGGTAAGTGTTCAACAAATGTTTTATCATTAGTGACAGTATCAGTTCAATCAGTTCAGTCGCTCAGCCGTGTCCGACTCTTTGCGACCCCATGAATTGCAGCACGCCAGGCCTCCCTGTCCAACATGCCAAGAGTAACAGTATAGACCCATGCTAATGATGTACGTGATCAGATGTTGATATACAGAATCATGTTTTTCAAGTGACAGTGGATGGGCCTTTGTGGGGAAGGGGCC